GTAGTTTTGCTAATAATTTATTCACAGGTATTTAATAACAAATATTATATCTATCTGTATCTGTTTTCTAATCTTATGTAATAAATTCTTTGTATGTTATTATTGGTTTGTAAGTTTTCTTTGTTTTCTAATATTAAAAATTATGTAATTTGATTGGCTGATTATCATGGGCAATCACAGGTAGCATAATGATCTACATTATGCATATTGTTTACTTGTTTACTTTTTGTGACCAATTAAAACAAATGTCTGCCATACTCATAGTCACGACGTAATCGAAAAGAAAAATCATTACAAATATTTGCCTGAAATATTAACCATCCTTTCTGGATAAGTAGGATTATATTTAATAAAAATAAGTACAAAAAGTGCTCTTAGTTGTGAACCACTACGTATAATAGAGGCTTCACTTAAACAAAGTTCTCATTCTCTATTATTCTCTAATAAACCAAGAGCTATATATACACTTTTAAATGTTGGATATTGAATATTATTAACAGTTTTTAGATGTTCAAATGATTGAGAACCACAAACAACTGTTAATAAAAGCCGAAGATAATAACATTCACCAGCAGAAGAATCAGTAAAGTATAATCTGCCAATTGCAAAACCTTGTTTTCAGATTGTCTATTGTCTAGTTTGTTGATTCCAAACAAAATGTTGTAGAAATTCTTAGTAAGTATATTGACAAGCAATTTCCAAAGTAGCACAGGTTTTAAAAAATTCAGTAAGTGTTGTTTTTTGATGATTTTCTTGAGAAAAAATATTAGCAGTATTATTAGTTGGATCAAAAGTTACTGTTTGCATTCCTAGAAGATGTAATACTAATCTTGTAATACTTGGATATTCTTCATAAAGATGCATTCCAAAAAGCCACCATGCTACCTCTAGTGTACCAACATATCTTGCGTCAAGATATTGTTTAATTTCATTAGACTCACACCAAATTGCATTGTAGTTCGATCATGTTCTTTATAAATATATTTGTAAATATATTTAACAGTCTAAGAAAAAATTAATAGTTAAATTAATAATAATAATATGAAAAAAATAAAATTTAATTAATAAATTAAGAAAATTAAAGTTTTAGTAGATTAAATTAGATTAAAAAAATTAAAATTTAATTAAAATATATATACCTGAACAGAAGCACAGACTTCAATATTTATATAATAGTTGTATTTATAGCTAAGTGTAGGATTGTATAGTACAATATCTCTATTATCAACATCTTTTCCTCTAATTTGATAAGCTTAACCATTATCTTTTCTAGCATAATAAGGATAGCCATCAGTATCCATAGATATTAAATTATAAAATTTTTTTGGATATTTTTTTTGGCAAGTATTATTTTTTATACATGGTGCTTTAGAATTACATGCTCCATAAGAGCCATGTATCATATATTGTAAAATAGTTTTAAACAAAGCAGAATTAGTTTCTTTGTTAGAAAACTTTGCACAAACAATTCGATCAACATTAATAGGCTCTTTTTTCTTATTATTATCATGAAGAAAAATCAAAAAGTGCATATGAGAAAGGCTGCGTTTTTAAAACTTAATTGTATAGATATAAGCAACTACTTTTCTAAAAATGTGCTTATTTTTAATATCATGAAGAAGAGTGCATCGTTTAAGCTCAAAAACATGTATAATCAAATCAGATCTTTCTACTAAAGTTTGATCTGGTAGCAATTCATTAGTAATTTCAGGCCAATTTGGATTTGCTGTCATAGTACTAAAAATGTCTGGATGATAATAAAACTAAGTTATTGCTATTAAATTTTAAAAAATTTTAAACATATATCATGCACTTCCAATATGGCTTGAAGGAAGAATAATACGGCATCCAAGATTATTAAGATTTAATTCTTCATTTGCAATAGATCCTATTGAATTAGCAAGTCCTTGATAAACATCAGCACACAAAATACTTTGATTTAAATATAAAAATTTTAAATGATTTTGTTCAATAGCAGCCCAGGCATCTACTATAAATTCTTGTAGCAACTTTTCACCTCGAAAAATAGTTGAAAACTCACAATGGCGTAAAAAAAGACAAAATGAGTAAAAGTCCATTTGTGTTAAATATGTAGCTTTACTTTGATCTTCAAGAGATTGTCTAGTTTCATTAATTAAAGTTTGGTATAAGTCTTCATGTTAACCAAGCTCACTATAAGGAAACAAAAAAACATAATACAAAAGCAAATATGTTGGATGTCCTTCATAAATACTTTAAGAGAACCACTATATAAACGAAGTATAATATCACACATTGCTACTGGTAAAAAACTATTACCAGGTAAAATAATAGCTATTTTATTTGATGTAGAAAGATTATATTAGCGAAGATCTGTTGTAGTATTAAAATGAAGATATACTATTAGATTAGTTTCAGAAGTTTTATCTCTAGTAACTTGAGATAAAGTTTTATGAGCTTGTTGATAAAGTAAATAAAAAGTATTATGCTTTCAAAGAATTTCTTGTAACTCCCACATGGTTTGAGAGTATAAATTTGTATTGTGACCTGTTCTAATTTGATGTGCTAAATTTGGATCATAAATATAAAGTTGTGTATAACAGGCATCCATTTCAGATTCTAAAAGAAGTGATCCTGATAGATAGCAAAGTACACCATGAATACGAAAACAATATGGAGCTTAATCTTCAAGAACAGTTTTATCTATATCTACTTCTAAAAAATAAATACATTTGCTAAATTATATTGATGGATATTTTCATGAAATTCCTGACTTTGCTTATTTTGTTGTTCAAAGAGCTAATGCAATTCAATAGGTGGGCCCTGAAGAAAAGAAAGTTTAACTTTTCCATGACTATAGCATTTTCCAAATTTTGGATTTTTCTTAGAAGAATTTGTAATACGTTTATCTAACCAATGTAGTACACCACAATGAATACATACTATATCCATATGCCCAAGATAGTGGTGAATATTAATAAATTGCTATGAATATATATTCTTAGACAATAAAGTACAGACTTTTTTAATTTGCTCATAGTCTCTTCTTTTTTGTTGAGCAATAGATCTTTTATTAGTTGTATTTTCTTCTTGTTCACATTTGCACTGTGCAGCAGATCTTTTATTAGAGTTACTTGAAGATACTTGTATTTCTTGTTCACATGTACGACACTATTGTTGAGCTATAGATCTTTTATTCATCTTAGACAATAAAATAATAGCAAAGTAGTAAAGTAAAATAAACTTAAAGAATTCAAGTATTGTTTGGCAATAGAATAGCAGAGAAAAAATATTTTTTTAAATATATCTACAAGCCAATTTAAGTATATACTAACAGAAATTAAATTCCAAAAATATATTATATTCACACTATATTAAGTATGCATATAGATTATATACATATGTATCTGGCTTTAAAAACTTCTAAATTGAGCAATTATTGACTGTTTATTAACAAATTATAATTTTGGCTCATTTATTCTTGCCATATTTGATTGTATAATATAATATATAAGTGCGGCAAAAAAATGCTATTATAGGAGTTTTAATTATATTTTGTATACAGTTATTCATCTATGTAAAATATACAGATGGCCAACTATATATAAAATACAATTAAAACTCCTATGACAGGTCTTCCCTTGGTGGCACTCATATGTTGTAGATGCCTTGCTATGTATACTGTTTTAGGTATGTTGTAGTTTCTTATTGCAGAGCAATTTCGTTCTAATATCCCAAAATGGAAATTTATATTCTCGCATGTTTATGTACATGTTTATATTATGTTCATGTTTGTTTGTTTATCATTGTCAAAAAAAAAAAAAAATCAAAAAGTGTATCGTAATAATAATAAAAAAGGTAGAAATTGAAACCGATAAACTTATGACAAGTCAAAGGTTATATTTTATTGGGTTCAACTAGTCAAAAAATTGGTTATAGCTATTATCATAATTCTTTTATAAAAAAGGAGAATAATAAATTTTAATTCACTATAATTTTCAATTTTATATTCAT